CTCTGTGGTTTGCAAAAAAATGTGTATACAATCCAAAATTTTTCTAATTTGCACCATTAGTTCAAACTAGAATATTTTTGGATTTGGTCCCTACAAAATCTGAAATGACTTTTATATCCTTTCTATTTGTTTTTTTGCACTTTTTTTATTCATTTTAATACATTTTTAATTTAAGATTAATAATAAACAATAAAATAAACCCATCCCACCTCACCCCTATTGTTGTTTTGCTTATGGATTTGTTTGACTTGTATTTTTTTTATTTAAAAGTTTATGATTTTTTCATTTGTTTCCTATAAATTTTCTTTTTTTTTTTTAATTATTATGTGTTCTCCCGCGTTTAACGCGGGTTATAATCTAGTTGTTTACTATAACAAATTCTGAAGAAAAAAAAACTATTTATTCTTAGAGGAAATAATGTTTATTAGATCATTTTTGTCAATCATTTTTAAACCGTGAAATTTTTTTTAAAAAATTGTTTATTATAACATGTTACTTTCATTTTGTTTTCAACTAGACTAATTAAATGATATAATGTCATGCTACCATTTTTTTTTAAACGGTTGGTTAGTGGTTAGAAGTTAGTATCCTCAAACTATTTTGTTTTTCAAATTCCGGCAATGTTATTTTATACTATTATTTTTAGTAATAGGTAATTGTTATATTCCATTTTTATCATTTAGTGATTATTCTTTTTTTAAGTCATCATGATTTAGACTCGACTATTATTTAAGTTTTTTGAATAAACAATTTTTTTTTTGAAATTGCTACAACTTCCTATTAACTATTTCATGCAGGTTCCTTTGCAAAGTTCTTGATTCAAAATGATTCCAAAGCTGAATATCAATAATAAGATACTGTCATTTGCAAAGTTTCTTTAATGGCTAAATACCAAAAATAGCATTATACTTTCAATCTTTCTTCTACTCTAAAGTAGTTACTGATTATAGTAATGTACTTTAGTTTTTTTTATGACACTGTGGAAATAGAAATGTAATTTTTTCCCCTTTTTGTCCCATCTTTAAGGATGATATATTAAAGAGAAATTAATATTTATGGAATCATGTATCATTATCTATGTTATTATTGATACATTGTTCAATTCATAATAGTGTATATGGTTATGGACAAGATAGAAATCACAATTTGGAAGACACTTCATTTCTTATCTTGTCCTTAATTACATGTTTGAAACTACCCCCCCCCCCCCCTCCCTCCCTTTCTCCTATTTATTCATTTATTTGACCCCTAATGCAATACTAATTCTATAAAAAAAATTATCTTAAAAACTACTTGAAAAATGATATATTTGTTATTGATTGATCATTTTATCACGCTTTTGAATGACCATTCCCCCTGCTTATTCATCTCATATCCTAAATAAGCTAAACCATTTTATAATATGAAATTAAATTAATCATATAGGGACATTTTTGCATTTAATCATACACATGAACTTTTTTTCTTCTTTTAAAGCATTGTACTTTAATGATTTTAATCTTCCAAAGCTAAATGCAATTGTCGACTTACAATATGGTGTTTTCATGAAGCACAAAAATGTTGCATAGTATTGGAATCTGTTAAATACAAGCTTGAGATTTTCTCAAGAAAACACAAGAACGCTATATAGTATTTGCAAACAAAAACTAATTGCATGTAGATATTAATTTCTGAAAAAAACTATTTCGCGTCCGCCGCTTGGCGTGGGTAAACGGCTAGTGTGTGTGTGTCTATATATATATATATATCTATATATATATATATATATATATATATATATATATATATATATATAAAAAGATCAAATAAAAGCATTAATTAAAATAAAAACATGATAACACTATTTTTTATTTTTTATGTTATTATTCAACGATGAATTTTGTATATATGTATAATATTATAGTAAATTCTAATATGAATATTAACATATGATTTATTCATATATTCATTGTTGAATAATGTCATAAAACTGCATATACAAAATTTATTACAGAATAATAACATAAATATAGTATTTTCTCATTCTCATCCTCCTTAATAAATAAATAAATAAATCCTCCTTAATAAATGAAGGTTTTTTTGCCACATGGCAATCTCTCATGAGTTTTGATACTTGTCATTTTGTGGTATTTTTGAAATAAATATTATCCACTTGTCAATTTTTGGTTTGTTTCAATTTTTAAAATTAAAATCATATACTTATATATATAAAATATTAAATATCATATATATCATATTAAATTGCAATAAATACGTTTCTTCCTTTTTTATTTTAAAGTTGTACATTAAAAAATATTTTTTGTTTACATTTTAATGTTTAATCTTTTTTTAAACCAACCCGTGTATTACACGGGTCTGACACCTAGTTTTATTTAATATTTTTATTTGAAACCATCCCATATATATATATATATATATATATATATATATATATATATATATATATATATATATATATATATATATATATATATATATATATATATATATTAGGGGTGAGCGTGGTGCGGTTTGGTGCGGTTTTTAATTAAAACCGAACCGCAAACCGCAAATGCAGTTTTTGAAAGTATAGAAACCGTTCGGTTCAGTTTATAGAATGGTGCGGTTTTTTGGTTTTTCAATGCGGTTCGGTTTCTTTTGGTTGCGGTTCGGTTTTAAAACGCCTAACCTTGGTGCGATCTTGGAAAACCGAAAGCAATAAGAACTGATTTTCCTTAAAATATATAACACATTTTTTCTGTCAAAAATACATGAATACAAATTTAAGTTTGCATCTTTGTTTCTAAGTTTGTTCATAAACAAGAACTGTTATTATTGGATTATCTTGGGGTTAATAACTTGTATGAGGCTATTACATTGATAATGTAACATGTTAATTAAATTAAATGTCAAAATATAGAATATGAGTTACTATTACCACTATTTCCCCCTGTGATCTCTTTATATAAACAATCCCCACCACATTATATGTTTATAATAAAAAATAATTATGTTATGTATCATAATTTAGATTCTAAATCAAACAAAATTTACTAAAATGAGTAGATCGAATTCCATTTCTTTCCTGTTAGAAATTCTTATTCGTATAGATTTTATATCCTACCGCAAAAGAGATTAAGAAAGTTTAAGGAGCAAAGATTATCTTAATTTAATATGTTAGTAATTAATTAGCATATTAATAATCAATTGAGATTTATTCAATACAGTGCGGTTCGGTTTTTATGGGCGGTTATACCGAGCAAAACCGCACCGAACCGCTAAAGTTCGGTTTTTACAAAACTTAAAACTGCACCATCGGTTTTTTATTCGGTTTCGGTTTCTTTGGTTTTTTCGGGTTTTCTTTGTTGCGGTTTGGTTTTTTGCTCACCCCTTATAAGGAGAGAGAGAGAGAGAGAGAGAGAGAGAGAGAGAGAGAGAGAGAGAAAGTTTCATATGTTTTCCCACATCTATTGTGTGTTATAATGCACCAATAAGAATTTTACTAAAATTAAATTATTATTTAATCAAATAAAGATATATATTAAATGATTTATATATTTATATGTATATTAAATGATATTCATAATTATAATTTTTTTTATGAAAACTAATTAAATTTAACATTAATATCAGCAATATTATTCTTTCAGAATGAATTTACATCTACATTTTTATGTATGGGTTCGTGTTTTGTTTCATGACTCACTCACTCAAAATACAACAAAGTTACGTGGAACATGGAGAACAATAGTGTATGCTAGCAGAATAAAAGTGTATTCTAGCATAATGAGAGTGTATTCTAGTAGAATACACTTTCGTTCTCCATGTTTCATGCAACTTTGTTGTATTTTAAGTGAGTGGATCCTGAAATAAAACACGAACCCATACATGAAAACCTATATGTGAATTCATTTTTTCATTAATGGTGAATTTAATTAGTTTCCAGAATTATAATTATGGATATCATTTAATATACATGTAATTATGAAAATTATTTAATATCTATTTTTATTTTATTAAATAATAATATAATTTTTACTAAATTCATATTGGTGCATTTTAGTACACTATATATATATATATATATATATATATATATATCTTTTCTTCTAAGAAAACAGTACATTAGATGACACGTGGCACCACCTTAGTCCATCCGTCTTGGCTTTTCCCGCTCATTTGATCTAACTAATATTCCAGAATTGCCCTTCATGTTATTAATCACTGAAAAGTCGAAAATTTTGAAAAATCTTTTTATAAATCGGTAAATATTTAAATCATGAAATCAGGATATTTGAAATTTGAATTTTCAATTATACCATATAATTCTGCAACAAATATGGCAGAAAATAAATGTTAAACTCTATCACTCCCAAAAAATCAGCAAATCAAATTTCAATCCCAATAAATCATCAATCGATTATCAGTCGGATATATATACTCCTTTACATGTGTGTTTACCTTCCTGTTTCACTACGCATAGATCAGACTTTATTCATCAAGTAAGGACACTACATTGTTTCATCTGTTTTTTTAATATATCGATGGTATACTCATGGATTTATCGCTCATTTTTTTTGTGGTTGCAGTGTGTTTTTCCTATATCCAGGGTATATATTCATCGACTTTTTAGTTTTGGACTGCATAATCAACCAGGTCAGTTTACTGTTTTTTTTAACTGTTAACCCTGTTTTTTTATAAACTGTAATTAATCATATTTTTTCCTAAATGTATTTAATTGTTTTTTATAAATTGTTTCATCATGTACCTTTATAACGGATTGTTGAATAGCAATGTATTTTATAAACTGTTAATCATGTTTTTTCCTTATGTATTTTAACTCATTTATGTACCCATAACTCACTTAAAGAAATTATAACATTGTGTATTTCTATCGATCAAAATCAGTTAAATAGCAATGTACTTTTTTTTTAAGTATATGTTTTCTTTATGATTTTTTTGATTATATTCAAAAAATTTTGTTAAATATACAGCTTTTTTTTTTTAATTTTCAAGGTACAATGGAAGATATTACTCCAGTAAAGGAGATTGACTCAATCAAGGACGATTTCACAATTAAGGTTCGCATCATACGTCTTTGGACTCAAAAGTCAAAATTTGATGCAAATGACACATACTCGATTGAAACGATTCCGATGGATGAGGAGGTATAACATGCATATATTCAATTATTATTTTTATAAATATTTATTGATATTTGTAAATTAATTATTTTTTAGGGAAGGAAAATTCATGCATCTTGTCTGAAGAAATGGTTTCCTAAATTCCAGCGCTATTTTAAAGAGGACACTTCATTATACATCAGAAAACCTAATGTCGCACCAAAAACTTCAAACTTTAACTTTGCTGATCCGGACAGAAAACTTACTTTAAATCCCGATACAACTCTAAAAGAGTGTGAAAACTTTTCTGGTTCTGCACATGGCTTTGCTTTTGTTGACTTCAATACGATTCTTTCTAACAACATCGTGGAGTCAAACTATATTGGTTGGTTCTTTTAATATTAATTTTTCTTATATAGCATCCAACTTTCTTTCTTTTTATTATAAATTCATAATTTTTATTAACTTAAGCATATGTTTTGTTGCTCTTGTAGATATTGTTGGACACATTTTTTAATATGGGCGTATGGACACCTCGGAACAAGATAAATCAAAACATAAAATGCTTATGCATCTTCAAGATATAGAGTATTCACCATTATCATAAACAAATAATATATTTTCTTTTAAATTATCTACATTATTTCTTTATTTTTTCAGGGATACTAAGCTTAAGGTAACTTTGTGGGGTCATAATGCATACTACATGCATGATTTTCTTGCTAACAATAACATCATTGCTCCAATTGTTGTTATTGTTCAATTTGTCAAAGTGAAGTTTATTAATGGTTTGTAATTATAATTAACAACCATTTTTAAGGATTTTATATTTATAATTTAATAATCAATTTTATTTTTGCAGGCCGTCCTTTTACATCCACTTACTTTGATGTTAGTAGGTTGTTCGTAAACAATGATATCGATGAAATTACAATCTACAAAAACAAGTATTTTGATTTATAATTTCCTTTGTATTATCATATTTACTTATTTCATACTATAATAAATGTAATACCTTTCTTTTTTTTATCAATGAACAGACTGGTATCTAAAAAATGGACAACAACTTTCATAAGGTGGAATCAAGATGATTGCATCAAAACAAGACACGTAACACGATGACTTTCTGAAAAATAATTTGTTTTCGAATATTGATGATGTGTTTGAACCTTTGGAGGTACTTTATGTTATTTTTAAAGTTGTTACTTTAATGCACTTTTATTTTTAAATTTTAAAAGTTTAAGAAACAAACATAGTATATTGTTATAACGAAACTAACATACACCGGCATAAACTAACATTTTCTTAACATTAAACATTATTTAAATTTCCAGGAAAAAACGGTCGTTATTGTTGGTACTGTTAAGGGAATACGTCAAAACATATGTTGGTATTACCTTGCTTGTAGCAACTGCAAAAAGTCAACAAAACAAAAAGAGTCTTCTACTGATAAGGTTGATGGTTCTCGTGAAGTGGCCGAAATCGTTACTTATGAATGTGCTAATCCTAAATGCAAAAATATCAAAATTTCGGTTATTCCAAAGTATTACATATTTATTTTATATAAAAACAATATATGTTTATCATAATTGTGTAATATAATATGATTTTATACTTTATTTAGATTTAAAATCTCACTTCGGGTTCACGACAACACAGGTACCTTGACGTTAACCTTATTTGATCAAGAAGCAAAGAAGTTGTTTAAATATACAGCTAAAGAGTTGTATGATAAAAACAAGAAGGTATTATTTTATAGTTCTAAATTACTTCTTTATGTTATACAATTATATATTTATTCACAAATTTTCTAACAATATTTATTTATATTTTAGCTTGGCATCAATTTGGATTTGTATCCAATGGAGTTGAAAGTTGTGGTGGACAAAAAGTTGGCAATTAAGATTGATATCTCAAGTTACAATGTCACTAATAAAAGTAATATTTATGGGATATCAAGATTAACCGATAATGAAGACATAATTGATGAACTGGAAACAAAGAATATTATTCCACAGGTTATTTTCAACAATTATATTTAGTTTTTGCCACTTTGACCCAACAATATCTGACTCAATAGCATTTTGTTTTTGATCTGATGATGCAGCGTGCTAATTCGGATTCATTCATGATTGGTTCTTCAGATATTGGTTACCAAGAGACCAAAGTTGTCAAGGTTGTAATTTTTAAATTATAATTCTGAAGTATTATGTTTTAATGTATAACAACTAACTAAATTTTTTTTAGGATTCTTTTTCACAGACAGGTGACAATTTAACACCTTGTGTTAGGGACAACTCAACTGCAACAAGTCCTACAAAGTTGATTTCTACACCAACTGAGTTGAAAAGAAACCTTGCTACATGCATAGATCTTGATGAAATAGATAATTTGTCAACATCTAAGTCTGCTCGATTGTCACCACCGGATGAACAACCAATGCCTCTTTTGGTCCCCAAGAAAGAAAAGTAAATGTATTTTACTTTTACAAACAATCTTACTTCATGGTTAATTTTCTTTCTGCATCATAGACTCTTAAGCCGTTTACATTTTTAGGTGGATTGGTTTTGAATGGTTTTTGTTTGGGATTTGATGGTTTTTATATTTATTTCTTGAATATACATTGTGTTATTTTTTTCATTCCTATAATGTCGTTTACTATGTTATTTTGATTTTGGTAGAACTGATTTTATACAACATTGCTTTTATCTCCCAAATGACTATTATTTATTCAATATTAGATAATATAACATCTTATTATGACTTTATTCTTCATTCAAAAGTATTCATTAAGGAGTAAACATTAATCTAGGGATTAATACAATAAATAGCAATGTACTATCATTTATTTGTGTATAGAAAAATAAAAGTATCATGATATTAGACATCAAATATAAACATTAAGTAATATTAGGTATTTGTTATTGAACTTCACCAAAAAAATCCTTTGATAATAACATTGTGTATTTCTAACTGTATTTTACTAAGTTATTTACCCATAAATCACTTAAACAAATGATAACATTGCGTATTTCTATCGATCAAAATCAGTTAAATAGAAATGTACTTTCTTTTTTACTATTTCAATTTTTTTAATGTTTTTTATTTAACTGTTTTTTTTGTTTGCTGATTGTAATTGTCAAATTTACAACTTTCTCTTTCTTTTTCATGTTAGATTTTTTTTCTTTTTTCTTTTTTTTAAATGTCAGAATTTGAACTTACAATAACCAATATTTCTGAAAGAATGCGAGTCCAATAGTACTAATGGTGGAATCCGGGTCCCCAAAATTGCCATTAAAGTTTTATTCTGAATTTGTACATAACGTTTCTAAATAGGTTCTTCAAGTTCCTAATTTAGTTTTAAGGTTCTTCTACTTTATAAATTCATGTCTCGACACAACAAATGACTTAGCTTTAACCCAAATATTTGTTTTCGTTCTTCATTTCTATCTATACATAGAAATGGTCCATGTTAAGGTCAATTTGCGTAAATGATCCCTGTTTCATAACAATTTACAACTAACTTATCATTTAACTTGTGAATCGTTAACAAAAATTTATATACATTTTGTTTACTGATACGTTTTTTAATATAACGTTTATAAATATGTTCTTCAATTTCCTAATTTAGTTTTAAGGTTCTTCTACTTGATAAATTCATGTCTCCAATTCAAGATCTTATATGTACTTTTATTCGTTGCTGATTATAGCAATGTAATTTCTGCCAAAAGAACTTTATTTTTACACTTATATCATGGATTGTTCAATTTGAAACGTAAATATTATACAATGCCTAAATTGCCCCTCCACTATCAAGATAGTCTTTAATCAATCAATTGTAGAATTTACATTATCTCTGTATTTAACAAACTTATTTACTAATAACTCACTTAAACAAATGTTAACATTGTCTATTCTATCAATCAAAATCAGTTAAATAGCAATTTGCATGTATCACGATTTGTGTAATTAAAATAACTATATGTTTTGTTTTTAAATCTTTTAAAATGCCTAAAATGCCCCTCCCACTATTAAGATAGTCTTATTTACTAATAACTCACTCAAATTGCCCTTAAAGTTTGATTCTGAATTTGTACATAACGTTTCTAAAAATGTTCTTCAAGTTCCTAATTTAGTTTTAAGGTTATTATACTTGATAAATTCATGTCTCCAATTCAAGATCTTATATGTACTTTTATTTGTTGCTGATTATAGCAATGTAATTTCTGCCAAAAGAACTTTATTTTTAATCTTATAAAATGCCTAAAATGCCCCTCCCACTATTAAGATAGTCTTTAATCAATTAATTGTTGAATTTGACTATGGATGCACTCTATGTTGTTCTTGATTTTTTGTAATTTCATATTCTGTACAATTAATGGCGTTTAACAAAATTTTAATTTAAGACTTTTATATTTAATATAAATAGTATTTGTTTGTATTTTAATTTATCAATGTTATATAACTATACAATAAATATACTTTTTATATTAGGCTACATAAAAAAATATTTAAATGAAATAATATTTTAAAATTTGACAGACTTACACAATATGATAAAAACTAAATATAATAATAATTAATCATTATACCCGCCGTCGTTCAACTTGAACCTCCTCTGTACCCTGGACGTAATCGGGACTGATGTGTTTACGGCGTGCGTTGATGTCTCTTCATCTCCGATTGATCATCCATTTAAACCCTCCCCGTATATGTAAACTCTCATTCTTGCATTTTCATCACCATCAAAAGATAACTTCGAATTTCTCATCCTCTGTGAAAAAAAATCCGGCGAACAATGGCAACAAATTTGAATGTCGATCCATGGGCAAAGCCGAGGTATCAACTATGGACTGTAAGCAGTGAGCAACCAAAAAACACACCGATTGTAGAGTATGGCAAAGGAAACGACAAGAAGTTCACCATTAGAGTTGTCCATGGCGGATATTTTACTGATTATCCAGGTAAAGCTTATGAAAAAACAAAAGTTCACTTTATTACTTTTGTCAACATCGATTTGCTTGACATGGATTTGCTTGGTAGTTTTTCTAAAAGTTTGGGTTATACAACTATGGGATACTGGTATCATATGCCAATTGAACAACATTCTGGTTTGTCAATGACTCCAATTTTGGATGATGGTGCTTTGGGAAATTTCAAAGCAATGGTTAGGGCACATCAATTCCGTGAGATTGAACATCTGTATGTGGAACACAAGCCAGTATATGTGCCAACCAATTTCCCCAACTTCATGATGAACTCACCAGCCAAAAGAGTTGAGAAGCTTATTTGTGACAACCCGAAATTTCTATCTTGTACAACATTCCAATTGTTAGAACAAAGTTCTTTTAGGATCGTTAGATTCTATGCAAGCAAACAGTTAAGAATGTAATCAAGAACACAAGAATGGCTTTGAATATGTCGTATGATTAATACTTCAACACCTCAGAAGAGATCGATTAAGAACTTCGACTGTAGAGGTGTTTAGGGTTACAAAACAATGAACGTAATAATCAACACCGTCTAATGCATACATGCATGCATATTTATAGTATAACCCTACTAGATAATCACGGATGGACAGGCCCAATCCGGATACAAAACAAAAAGCCCAAGATGCAACACAATTAGACTCAACACTAATTCAATCAAAGTCATACTCGTTTTGCTATCTTTTAGCATTGTTTAGAGTCAATTAGAGCATTTTAAGCCTAGTACATCCAAGGATTGGGTGTTAGGAAGTATCTGCTTGAGTCCATTGTGCACCAAGCAAGCCATAAACTTCATCATGTGGAGTTTACGGCCACATCCCATGAGTTTACGGCCATAAACTCAAGGTGGCCGTAAACTCATGCCTTATACATGATGTCTTTCATTTCTTCCTCATTATTCACCATTTCAACCTCAAGAACTTGATTTCTCTCTCAAGTATCATAAGGATCTTCATTTTTATCTTCAAAAATGTAAGTGTTTCATCCTTTGTTTTATTGAAACATCTCATTATCTAGTATCACCCTTTTGATTTCATCCATTAACTTCATCTTTTGGGTTTGATCTTCAAGATCACCAAGAACACACACTAGTGTTTTGGGCCGAAATCAACTCCTTTTGCTTCCATATAGTAAGTATACTCTTCCTATACTTGTTATCTAGTAGAAACCCTTGATTTGCACCTTGAAAACGTCCAAATCCCATGAACAAAGAGAGTTTACGGCCAAGAGCATCTCCTTTGGCCGTAAACCCTTGTTAAAGGTGCATTTGTTGGCCATAAACTCCCTAAAGCTAAACATTGAACCTAGAACACTTTCTTGATGCTTGAAAGGTCTTTAAATCACTCTTTGGCACAAGACTTCATGAGTTTACGGTCGTAAACTCATAGGGTCGTAAACCCTATGGCCGTAAACTCAAGGACCGTGAACACCTTGGCCGTAAACACCATAGTGTGGCCATACACCCCTTAGATGCAACCCTTTGTACTTCTAACACTTTAATCTAAGTGTTTCCTAAGTCCTAGAGTGTTTTCCTTACATAATTAGTTGTATAAACACTAATTATATACATATATGTGTCATTATATGCTTATTAGGATCCGTTGTGCTCAAGTATTCACTTGACACTTAGCATCCTACAAACCGATCTTTCATTCGTATCACTCACTACAGGTGAGTTCATACCCCTTAACTTATCTTTTAAATGATTTTAACTACTTTTATGGGGGGGGAATACAAGTGGAACTATTATAGTTATTATATCAATCACATGTGATTAATAACTATCAAACAAGTGGATTTCTCACATTTCAAACTATGTTATCAAACAAACTGCTTCAAATCGTTTTATAAACTCTTTTACATGTTAAATACTTTCTATTAAACTCTTTTAAAACTTATACTTTGTCAATATCATGTCTATATATATATAGTTATATAAGTAGGATTGAAAGGACTTAGGACTGATAACTCGCCTCATTTCCTGTTCCTTGTTTGGTTGTGGACTTAGGGTATCAGTTATTTGTCCGAAGGTCGTTTTAACCTTAGTTATATATTATGTGTATGTATATAGATATAAAAGTTCTTCTATTAGTTCAATACCTTTGGGTAGCAAAGGTGTACAAACATGTTCATTCATACAAACAACATTACTAGTAAACTATAATAGGTATAGTTTAGGAAGTCACTACTACTATTACTAGAACAATGAAACATACATGAGTCAGTCATACATAACTAGAAACAATACTCACTATAAAGAGAAACCGATAGAGCATACTATAACGAGAAACAATACTCACTATAAAGAGAAACAGATAGAGCATACTATAACGAGAAATAATACATACTACACACTATATACTAGAGAACATACTACATACTAGACAGAGAGAACATACACTACACTAGAACATACTATACAAATACAAGAATACTATAACAATAATGTGAGATACTACTTCATGGTTTGGAAATATACTGTTGCGTCACGTTTTGTACCCAGAGTCTCTAGGATGGAGAGCGTGAATTTGTGTATAGATCTATACGGGACTGACCCTCCTACACCTTGCTGCTAGCTACAGTGGGACCTGCAGGTCTACGGGTGACGAATGTCATACCATTTCGACGTCTCGAACGTCGTGTTATACTAGTCGATCAAGTATGGTTACAATCATATCACATTTTACCTTAATTAAACTAACAAGTTTAAGGTAGTTAGTACATTGGTAGTTACTTAGATAAAACTACAGTACATCTTTATTTTCCCATTTCATTCACATTGTGATCTTCTCACATAAACGGTAATGAAAACTATATTTTGGTAATGATAGTCATACTTTGGGAAAATACTCACTTTTACAAAAGAACAAACATAAAGAACAGTTGGGTCTTGGTAGAAGACTGCTTTAGTAGAAAATATAGGATTTTCTAGGAAGTTTACAAACATTTACATCAAATACTTACAAACTTTTACATCAAACATTTACAAGCACATTCTTCAAACTTATACAAACAATGACACTAAAATACTTATGAACTCACCAGCTTTAATGCTGATCTACGCTTTCAAAATAACTTGTATTCTCAGGTCACCAGTAGACAGGTACCGATGACCAGGTTTTGAGAAGACGGAGCTTTCAAGACTCGTCTTTATTTTGATTATTCATTTTTGGTGTCTTATAAACTACAGAACACACTTGTATTAAAATTATATTATTAATGCAATGGATGATGTTGTTGCTTGTTTACTATTATGCATTGTTGTGATACTGTACATGACGTCCTCCGCCCCCGAACGTTTCCGTCGTTCTGGTTTGGGGTGTGACAGATTGGTATCAGAGCATTGTTTATAGTGAATTGAGTATATCAACCCATAAAAGATATACAACTATAAACACAACGGATTAAAATACTCTGACCAAGAGTTTATACTTTTAAATAATAAAATATTTAACCAAAGTATACATACCTGCATTCATACTAAAATCAATGTCACTAGGACAGAACAAAAGTATTACGATTGTTGGACAGCACGAGTAGGCTTGGGGACATATAATCAGATCTGGGAGTGATATAGCCTGATCAACTATATCTTTCCGAGAAGTGATTAGCATGTGCCTAGGAATGGTTGTGATGTTGCAGCAAGTCTAAAAACTTACCAACACTACTACAATGAAAACATTAGAACAGAACATAAACTTAAAATACTATAGGAGTATTTTGTGTTACTATAATTACTTATGTGCAAACTAAAAAGGTCTTTATTAGTATGTCAATAGTTGCTGAGTGGATACGCTAAGGTTATATGTGACTAGGGTGTTATAGACTTAGAATCTGTGATCTTTGCTTTACTCCCTATTCCTTGTTTGGTTGTGGGCTTAGAGTTAGGGTCACTTATTCGAGGGTTTATCCTGTTTTTGTTACATATGACTGGTATGCACTACGCAAATGTTGGAGTAACTGGTAAGGATCATCTCATAATTATCTTAATTAGTACGTCTATTAATTATTTCTTTTACCCCTATTCTCGCGTAGATAACATGGCTAGATTCCATATCCCTGGAGACCCGTACTTCCCCAACCAAAATAACGAAGGATGGCTCGATGTTGAGCCAGAAGAGGAACCTGCAATTCCATTGGACGATGAATTTGCTGAGAACTTCCCAGAGGATTCTGACTCCGAGCCAGAAGTCAATGACCTACCACTGGTGGCTCAAAACCCAAATCCAAACCCTCGTCCGGCTTTTCAAGGCCCGACGCCTCTGTGGGTGGAAATTTTGGAGACATGGAGCCAAGAACAGGGTCAACCAATCCCATTCAACGGGGATAGAAGTTTCTACAACGTGAGCGAAGGAGGCTCAGCGGACAGAGTCCTGCCTATTCTGGTCCGCAGGGTTGCTCGTAACGAAATTCAGGGTAGGACAGCCCTCAACCGAATCGCGGAAGTTGATGCCAATTCAGGAGTCAATATTGTCATCATTCGTCGTCTGGAAGATGCTAGTGATAGAGCAGTAAGGGACAATGAGTCTCTACTGCAAGCACTAGCTGAGACTAGGGCTGAAGTCATAGAACATCGCGTGCGCCAGCGAGTGTACGAGCGACGCCTTCTTGAATTGGAGCATCAGATGGATGACTTAAGGGTTCGCCCAAGGGGTTCCCGTCGCCAGTAGGGAATGCTTTGCTCAAATTTCCTTTTGTCTAAGGATTAGCCTTCTTATCTATGCTCTAATTAGCACTTCTCCCTGTAATTTCCTGTTATTTTAAGACCTTGAACTTTCGGTCGATAGGTCTTTATTCTGTCAAAATTTTCTTATCTTGGTTTGATGTAAGACCTACTCCTAGGTCATTTTTCCCGAACTTGTTACATCTGTAATACCAGTATTATTGACAGATATCTATTCTCACGGAAATTAATATCCAAATGCTTTCATCTTTCTAGTATTAGATTTCTATCCAATCATACTTCCATTTGTGTTGTTGGGCTATGGGGAGTTAGTCCATGAGTCACTCTCATCATACTCACTATTAAATCCTTATCAATGTCTTCATCTTTGTGATCCTTATAGCTACAAGATGCCTCCACGTCGATCAGCGAGACGCACTACTCCAATAACTCCGAATCAAACTCCTCCTCCTCAATACAACCAACAGCTATCCAAGCTGCTGTGAATGCGGCTGTTACGGCATCCTTAGCACAATTCACCTCGATCGGTACTAGTGGGAGTGGAACTAATGTGCCTCCCACTATTGTCGAAGCTCCAGTGCGCTCTAGAGAGTGCTCGTACAAGG